CTGACCACTACCAGGACTGATAAGGAATAACAGTCACAAGCTGGCATAGGGTAGATTCAGGCTAGACATCAGGAGGCGCTACTTCACTGTCAGGGTGGCTAGGATCTGGAACCAACTTCCAAGAGAAATGGTGCTGGCTCCTACCCTGGGAGTCTTTAAAAGGAGGCTGGATGAGCAGCTGGCCAGGGTCGTTTGACCCCAGTATGCTTTCCTGCCATGGCAGGGGTGGGACTTGATGATCTGCTCAGGTCCCTTCCGACCCTACCAACTATGAAATGATGAAAAAGTGGTATTAGTGGCAGATAATTGCTGGCCTTGTGGTAACCATTCTTTGCATTGCAGTAGGCACGTTTTAAGTTTTCACTGTGCTCCCATGTGCTTGATTGCTGCCTCATCAGCTGGCTGTGTGTTGAGCATGCTAAGTCATACCTCCAGGAAGATGAGCAGTCCAGGGTCGTGTACATAAAACCATGGAGAGAACAGTAGGGACTTTAAATTAAACCTATGTAAATTCCCAGAGTAATCCTGCAGTGTAGACATGCACAAAAATATTTACTGGCAGTCTGAAAATAACCAGTTCTGAACGAATATGGTAAAGTCTAATTGAACATAATGGTATTTCTCTGTTGGACACTAACTTCAGGGTGCTGTATTTTTTCATTCACTCTGGGCACGTCTATATGTGGCCATATGGCACCTTTGTTACTGTGCTGTCATTTAGTACCTTTTGGAAGTACTAACAGCCTGTACTGCGCCGTACCAGCCATGCATGGTTATTTTTGGCCGCTACGTCACTGTAGCAATGCGCTATAATGAGGGAGTGCAATGCTACAGTGGTGTAGCAGTGGAGTCACGGTTTTTGCCAATGGACACTACAGCACCATAGCGCGTCACTACAGCACTGTAGCATCTTGTGTAGATGCATCCTCTGCTTCTTATTCTTCTTTTCTGAATTCCCCGAAGAATTAAATTTCAAAGAAACTTCACTTTCTATAACTCTGGGGGCTCATTGTACACAAAAGGCTTAATGCACAGTAGATTAATTCTACTGCTCGGTAGCACAGCTGGCAAAAGCCATGCCAACATGCAGTAGACTGAGTCACTTAAAAACTCTTTATCTGCACTAATATGCAGTAACACAGATTATGGCACATTCAGTTAGCACCTGTTATTACTAACATGTACTAACTGAATGTAAGGTACTAACTTAATGTGTTGTAATTATGGTGCATTAATGAACGTGCAGATGCGTCCAGGGTTTTCTAGACCATCACAGAGTCTGTTAAGATATTTTTGCACCAGTCATTAAATGAGGAACTACCCAGCACATTTCTAGGGAGGCAGGCTTACCTTTTAAGAATTGGCTTTCAAATACAAATGCAAATTATACTTTGGATAAGCTAATTATTGAAAACCCTGTGACTGTTCAGTACAGTACCTGTAGGAACCAGTCTTTTTACCTAGAAATGAAAGTTTGGAGAGGATGCTATAGTATTCCCTGTTGTATAGATATGTGGACAGCCTTCTCAGACTCCAGTTTTAGACAAAAAATTCAGACGGCTCTGAATTGCTGCACTAAAATTGGCTCAGTTTCATTCATTTAATACTGATGCTGTTTAACAAAGCTGTGAAGCAATCACAGTAAAAAGTTAACCTTCTAAACCAGTGATCCTCAAACTTTTTGGGCTTGAGTCACCTCTTCATAACTTTTGTGAATTGAGGTACCCAATTTCAAAAACTAATTTATATATTGCAGTGTTTACGTCTTTACAGAGAGGCAGGCCAGTGAAGTAGAGGATCCACCAGGCAAGGACAAGCCTGTGTGCCTCTCTGCTTATCTCCCTGGGGGAGAATCATTTTTGTAGACCGTAATAGAGTCAGTCTGGAACCATAAGTTCTGAATATGTAGGCTTTCACTAAAAAGTGATACGTAAACTAATATTTTGGCCCTCCATCACTTGCCCAGGAAAATCTGCCCAATCACCACTTACAAATGGATTTTTTTCAAGTTCTGGTTTTGTGTGCGTGTCTGGCTGGGAATATTTGGATAAGAGGATAGTGATACAGATAATTGAGCCTTAGATTTTTTCCATAGTAGAACATTTTACATTTTCCTTCAGGCAGTCCATATTAGGTAAACTAGATTCTGCCAGGTAAAGCAGTTATGCAGTGCTCAAATGCAGCTATTCTGTCAGGATGCAAAAATGCATAGTAAGAAATCCTCCTCTGAAAAATATTGAACTGTTCCAAGTCCTTTGCAAGATGAATATGGAGTGTAAGGAATAAAGCCACTGGGTAAAATGAATCATGTTACAAAGGAAGACAGACATTATTTATTGTAACAGCTGGAGGAAAAACTTGACACATTTACTGGAGTTGTTATTGTCTAGAATGGCTATACCTATGATAATGTAAATACAGAGATATTTGTCTCTGATTGGAGTTTCTTCTATCTAGCATAAAAAAGCAGACTTTAAGCTTCTGGGTACTATCTATAAAATATCTAGGTTCTGCCTTCTAGGAAGTGGGCAGATTACTTGAGCTAAGACCATTTCACTCCTAAGACCTTATATTGATGTCTTAACTAACCAGAGTTTGTTCAGATGCTTAATCTTTCTCAAAATTGGCAGGTGTAGCAAATTTAGTCCCTTCTGGCCCTAATGTCTATGAAATTTGGTTGCATGGGGATAGTGTTTACACCAGTATTTTAGGATGTAGTTTCGACTTTGAGTCAGTAGAAGGTAGAAGAAGCATAGTCCAATGCCATTAATGTTTCTGGGAAGACTGGTAAAAAGCAGGATGGAATTATTCTTTACATTCAGTTCTACCAATTAACTAGAGCTAGATATCTACAATTTTATCTTCTGCAACAAAGGATGTATTAAACTCAGTTTCTGTTAGAAATAGCAGCTAATATTGTTTAGTTTATCAATAAATTAGTGATGCATTTTGTTAAAATAGATTTTTTTACCAGCAAGCTTTTCTACATCAGTTCATTTGTTTGTGTTTATAAGAAATTTGTAAAAATCCGTCTATGCATCTTCATTGCCAGCAGATTGAGGGACGTGATTATTCCCCTCTGTTCTGCACTGGTAAGGCCACATCTGGAGTAGTGTGTCCAGTTTTAGGCCCCCCACTATAGTAAGGTTGTAGACAAGTTGGAGAGAGTCCAGCAGAGGGCAGCAAAAATGGTTAGGGGGCTGGGACACATGACTTATGAGGAGAGGCTGAGGGAACTGGGCTTATTTAGTCTGGAGGGACAGACATTCAGAAAGCCTGAGTTGATTCAATCTTTGCAGGTTATTCTAACCTGGCTAGGCTAAATCAGTTTTTAATCCAGACAGACATCCCAGACTGTGGGCACATGCCTGCAGTGGCTCAGGCTAGAAGCTGGGAGGTGCTAGAGCAGCCCTTCATTTGCTTCCACAGGGCAGAGCTGAGGGGGGGGTGGTCAAGCCCTTGGCAGGATGCACTGATTATTTCTTCCCTGCCCCTCCAGCTGCCCAGCAGGGAATGTTTATCACCCCTAACTGGGTGTTTATCAGCTCATTGATAAAACAAAGCCTCTCTCCATTAACTAATGGAGTTCTCTTTACAGAGCTCTTCCAAGGAAGGGCATTAAGCTACCTGTTGATTAGCTCCAAAAAGCCTGTCTTTCTCTGTCCTCTCCCACAGCAGGGACTGTAGCCAGTGTGTGGTCTGCTAGCTAATGCCGAGGTGTCTGCATAAGGCAGAGGAGAAGGGGGAATAATCCCTGCTTAGCAAGGAGAAGCCAGGCAGATGCTCTGTTCCTGCAAGCCTGTGCCGAGCAGAGGGGAGGGGCCAGCCCTGCACCCTGCCCAGTCCAGAGAGCATGCTGGGATGCTGGGGGGTGTCTGGTTTATCTTAAATCAGCAAGGGGTTTGGGACAGACCTTGCATAAACTGGTTTGAGCCAAATCAGTTAAGTCTGATAAACCTGGTTGAATGTAGTATCTCAAACTGGTTTCAGCCATTTTCAAACTGGTTTATGTGCACTGAATATCTGTTCTGTTACAGATTTAAACCAGTTTCTAATCACAAACCGGTTTATGTGTAATATCTGTCCCTAGCCGAGAAGACCAGGGGGCGAGGGGGGATTTGGTAGGAGCCTTTAACTACCTGAAGGGTGGTAACAAAGAGAATGGAGCTGGACTGTTCTCAGTGGTGACAGATGACAGAACAAGGAGCAATGGTCTCAAGCTGCAGCAAGGGAGGTTTAGGTTGGATATTAGAAAAATAACATTTCTTGCTACAAGGGTGATGAAGTACTGGAACAGGTTACCTAGCGAGGTGGTAGAATCTGTATCCTTGGAGGTTTTTAAGGCACAGCTCAACAAAGCCCTGGCTGGAATGATATGGTTAGGGATGGTCCTGCTTTAAGCAGGAGGTCGGACTAGATGACCTCCTGAGGTTAATCTTCTATGATTCTGTGTATTGTTTGTGTCTAAAACTATATGGTTTGCAATAGAAGAGATTAATAGTTGTAAAATACAAACTAGGATACCTACAGAATTGTGACATTTCTGCTAATTTCATGTATTATAATCTCTCTCGATAGGTACAAGAAAACTCACCAGGGCATAGAGCTGGACTGGAGCCATTCTTTGATTTTATTGTTTCCATTAATGGTTCGAGATTGGTAAGCTTGCTGTATTATGAAAACTTATTTACATATAAGCAATAGATTTTATGGCAGGAACATATTGTTGTTGCTAAACTGAGTCAGCGTTTTATTTAAATCATTCATTGATAGTTTCTGTACCTTGGCAAACCTAGAAACTGGTTTTGCATTGTTTACCTTGCCATCACCCCAGTAGTTTAACTTTCAGCAAAATTTAAACTGGAGAATAATACGGCGCTATGCTGAATGCTTGTAAGGCCATGTTTCCTTTCCCTGACTGAGGCCCTAATCTTCTAAAGGATTATAAGGAAGCCCTGTAACCTTAGTGTTGCTACGGTACTGGAATTGTTAGTAGTATGGATGAAGGAGGAAGAACATGGTCAAACCCCTTTAGATTTTTCAAACATGAAATTTCTGCTGCCAGAGCAACCTAAGCTAGCAGGAAAGTAGGAATGCTTGGGTGTTGCCTAGGCATATTTTCTACAGATCTGTGATTTGATCTTCGTGCCTCCCATTCAAGCACAGATTTCTTTCCCAGAAAAGATAATGGGTCCTGTGGGACAAGCAGGGCAAATGGAGCTTGTCATTGAAAAGGTCATGTTCATTCTAGAGCCACTGAAGTATACTTTTTTTATGCTGCTTTGATCCTGCTGCCAGGCCAGCTGGAAGTACACACATGTTCCTCTTAGATCCTGATGTAGCAGGTGACTCCAGAGAAATGTTTCCAAAAGATGATGTGGCTCTTCTATGCCTATCTTGTCTTCCATTATCTGTAATGTAAAATAGTGAAACTGCATCTGTGCAGACTTGTCAGCAGAGATTTAAAAATTCAGAAGTACTTCAGAGCTCCCATGATCAAAGTGAGGCTCTAATGCTAGGGACAGAAATTAAACATAAATTGGTATAAGTGATTGGAAACTGGTTCAAATCTGTAACGCAACATAAGTTCAGTGGACATAAACCGCTTTCAAAATGACTGAAGCCGGTTTAAGATAAACCTGGATGGATGTAGTATCAGACTTAACTGATTTAGGTTAAACTGGTTTATTCAGCTTTGTCCCAGATCCCCTCCAGGTGCAAGTTAACCTATAGTTCCCCAACATCCCAGGATGCTTTGCACCTCACCCAGGAAAGCCCCCTTCCTGGGGTGGGCAGGCTAGCTCTCTCCCAGGTACTTTGCTGTAGCTGAGTAAGGAGGCATGCTCTAATGCCCCCCAGCTTCTGGCCTAAGGCACTGCAAGCATGTGGCTGCATTTCAGTGAATGTCTGTTTGCTTGCTTTTTGGTTCAATCTATGTAGTTTAGACTAACCTGTGAAGACTGAATCAATTCAATGTTGAGCTTCTTGACTGTCTGTACTTGGAGCCATTGCACTAAACACTGGTCCAGTTCCTTCAAAGAATTAGCACCTGAAGCCAGAGTAAACTTGAAGCACCATTATGACAGCTGTCAGAATCGCAAGGTTCATTTTTTGAAATAGTTGCCTGTTAAAGTGAAGTGTGAATGTTTTATAGCCTATTGTTAGGATCCTGAAATAGTTTTTGTACATAGTTTCATAGTTAGTAGGGTCAGAAGAGACCTGAGCAGATCAAGTCTGACCCCCTTCCATGGCAGGAAAGACTACTAGGGTCAAACGACCCCAGCAAGGTGATTATCTAGCCTTGCCTTAAAGACCCCCAGGGTAGGAGCCAGCACCACTTCGCTTGGAAGTTGGTTCCAGATCCCAGCCACCCTGACAGTGAAGTAGTGCCTCCTGATGTCTAATCTGAATTTACCCTCTGCCAGCTTGTGACTGTTATTTCTAGTCACTCCTGGTAG